GCAAACGAACCCCTCATGCCTGCTGCTTTCAGTCTCGGTGTTGCCCTTTTAATCCAAAGGCATAAGGGGGAAGGAGGACTTACGGTTAATCGTTAGCTAAAAAAGTACCAGAGGTTCACTCATGGGAGTCTTAACAACTATCATGCACTGGAAATGAGCTTTGCTTGCGTATTTTTCTGTAGGAAGAGCTTTACAACTAGTGTCATCTATGCCACACTTCTTCTAGAAGAAAACACCCAGACACCCAGAGCAAAAGGCCATGTGGCTAGGGCTGCAAGTTTGCTATTAAACTCCCTTCTCATTAAAATGTTCTGTTTACAGACACCCCTTTTTGCTCAGCATTCAGATTGTTTTTACCTATCTTAAAACAAGAGGTACTGCTCAGAGAAGAAGACTGATAAAACGGTTTCATTCACATCTACATCTGGGAAAACCCCTGATTTTGCCATTTGAACTGTGCTCCTAGCCTAGGGCCAGCCATCTCCACCCAGAAGAGGATGACTGACTGGCAGCAGAAGGCCACTTGTCACTCTGAAATGTGACATGTCTTGTGGAGAACTCCCAGAAGAACATCTTGGACTTTGTCTGGGACCAGTCTGTTGCTGTGACTGGGGCACGGAACAGTATCAGTAGGGAAGTGCAACGTGCAAGGGCTCAGAGCCTTGGTGCTCTGGCGTTTCTTTCCAGCTGAAGTGAAACATTTGGGAGAGTGAAGCTATAATGCCATTGATGTTACCAAAGCAAACTCATCTGGAGCAACTGAGATGTCCAACTTATCACTGATGCAAGGCCCTCTCTTGGTCTTTGCTAAGGATGACGGTTACTTTCAGAGTATCTAGGAAGAACTTCTCTCTTGTGTCTGATTTCCATAATTAAAAGGCACAGCTTGTTGTTCCAGACCTTGTGAAATGTTATGGATAGACAAGCCTGGGATGTTGCACAACTGCCTGTTACACTAGCAGGGCTATCTCGGGTGAGAGATCCAGATACTCGTCGTGTTGTTGTTTATAGGACCTATGTCTGCCAGTCCAAGAAAATGCTAGCCTATTGGTTTTCTGGAAGGGATGCAAACACACCCACATAGCTGGGCTGAGACAAATTCCCACAGCTGAAGTAAGTTTCACAATGAAGGGTATGAAACTATTAATAAAGTTATAAATGAATAAATACAGCACTGAACCTCTTCCATGTCCCATTCTGTTCTGTTCAGTTCAGTTCAACAAAGCATTCCAGCTGCCAAACTTTTCCGTCTAAATGATAATGCCAGAAGAAAAATGTCCACTTAGGCTTACTTTTAGGATTTTAATTTTCTGACAGTTTTGCAAATTGAGTCACTAAGATTGTCAAGGTGTGTTTACTTCTATACTTTACATATTTCTACTTAAAGTACTTCAGCATTAGAGATGTATACTGTTTGGTTGGCCAAGCGAAATGATTTCTAATCACCTTTCAGAGAAGGCGTTACCATCTTTACTTTGACTATTATTTGAAAAGTATTTCAAAAAAAGGCAACAAAAATCAATTAATGGAAAATACAACAAACGGCTGAAAGAACTTCAAGAGACACATGGAATATGTGATAGGATGTGTTCTGGGGCTGATGTGGAAAGCAGTGTTTCTGCAGAAATACGCAAAAAAAAAAATCAATTTTATGTGCACAAGGAACTGAAGAGTAAATATGTGGTTAGAGATGAACCACTCTGCAGCTGAATGACCTTACAGATAAATGAAAAAGCAAAATCATGAAGCACACATTTAAGAGTATTTTCACAAACATGCACAGTTCCATACAGGTGAGTGGAGTAGTGTGCTCTGAAAATGTGAAAGATAACAGTCTGTAAATATATTTAAAGCTGCCATATTTACTCTCATGGAAAAGCTACAGAAATATATACCTACAGGTTTCAGGTTATAGAAATCATCAATCTTCTTTTGCAAAGTTTTTTTTCCCCCTAGTGTAAGGGTTACAACATAGCAATAAAAGTAAACAAGATCCTGTGCAGTAGCCCAGAAGTTATGTCTTGTTATAGGAAAAAAGAAACTCAAATATGTACATTTGGAAGTAAACAAAAGACTTACGATTTCCGAGTGAGTTCTGAATCTGGAAGACGGAGCTCAGCATGGCTTAGCACATCGGAAATCAAATTTGGCTTCCAGGTAGAAAGGCATAATATACAATATGCTGAAATAACAGTGCTAGCAGATCCCTTTTGATAATGGGATGACAAAGCACAGCGTCTGATCTAACTTCTCTCGTTGGTCTTTTAATGTTCTTCTGATTAAAAAAATAAACAAAACCTGGGTTCACAAACATTAGAAATAAAAAATGCTGAAAGCATAAACTTCTTGAGTGTAGCTGAACTTGGAAGTTGACTGTTACCCATAGGTCCTGCTGTTCCACTCCTCCACACCAATGTTAAACAACAAGAGTGCATTGAGCCTCAGAGCTAAGGAATGAATTCTCACAAAACATATTTTGAATCTAGAGCTGAACATGACTTCCTTGATTATTCCTTCACTTCTCATATCTTCCTCCCTCAACGCTGTTGCAATGTGTGACTGACCCAGCAGGATTCAGCTTTTACCAGAAAAAATCTGAGCCCTTTTGAGAAGGATAGGTACCAAAATGACATCCTGGTCTACAATAAAGAGAATGAATCACTTCACTTGTTACCTGGAGCAACTCAAAGGATTCAGGGTTCTCCAATCGCTTTACCTATTGTTGCTACAGTCTGTAACAATTCTTAAACATGAAGAGATAGGCCAAAAATAACTGACTTAGTTTCCTCACTCTGTATTTCAAAAGCCAGAAAAAAATTCCATTATGGTCAGTAAGAATAAAATTTAGATAGACACAAATGAGCTGTTTCTAAAATAAGTAAATAAATGGTTGAAAGATACCTTCGCTGATACTGACATCCTAAAACTTCCAATAAAGGGTGAATTATTGGACTAGTTTTTCTAAAAAAAATGTCCCTGTACAGAACTAGATGGCAAACTACATGCAAAGAGCCAAAGACCAGTTCTTCCACAAGGTATGCTTTTCAGCCTCAACAATTTGTACAGGGAAATACTGAATTATTTTGAATTTTCCTTGCTCCTTGAATGACTTTTAAATCCTGCACTTCAGAAAAGGGTTAAGGAAATTATTTCAAACTATGTGAAATATAAATAGCAATAACTTACTGCATTTCTTCAGACATGACACTGCCATCTGGCAATTTTCTACTTCTGATTTTGTTCTCATTCCAAATTTAAAGCAGTTATTTTGACTTTCTGGTTTACACTTACATAGGTGAAAACGTCGATCATTTTCAGATAAAGGTTATAAGGAGTTCCAAGATTTCAATAGTATTTTTCTCAGAAAGATTTCATGGGGGGAAAAAAAGTTTCCTTGAATTCTGTAGTTATTGTATTGGAGGCAGACCTTCTTATTTCCATTCTTTAGCAGTATAAATGCATTTTGGGTAAACCCACTGTTGGCTCACAAATACAAGTAGTTCACTGTTTATGTCAAATGAAGCACCTCAGCTACCCCCCAAAAAATGAACAGAAGATAATCTTTAGAAAATCTCAGATGTGGCCCCTGAGATTTCCCTGAAGGGAAAAGGAAAATATAGTTTTAGTGAAAAGTCTTCAATTTTATTGTGGTGGTGTCAAATCAAGGCATATAAAGTAACTACTATAAATAACTAGTTTATGTCGCTTGCCTTATTGGTGAGGTTTCAGAGCAAACACTGCAGGAAGTGAAACAGAAAAAATATTAGAAAAAGATCATTTAACATTGATTTAAAGAACAATAAAAGTGATTAATATGAAATAATCTGAAAACAGAAGTTCAATTGTTGTGGTTATTAAAAATGGACTTTGAAAAGACAAACAAATTCTATACAGAGCTACCAAACATACTATGTCTAACTAGGCATTCCCAGATTTTCAGCTTGTTGGCATCCATATTCACCAGCTGGATACTTTGTACAGGCAACGTTTACAAGATCCTAACATTTTGTAATGTTGAAGTGCTCTCAGTTTATACTATTGACATAAAACCACTTGCATCCAATGATTGATTAAAGCAGGTGAGAACAATAAAATCTTTGTTGGGAAGATATTACAGTGTATAATTACACTGTTCCATGTGTGAACTTCATTTTTCCACTTCAAAGCCTCTTTCATAAAAAATGCAGAAGTGAAAAAGGGAGATGGAATTAGGCATGCCCATCTTCCAAGCAAGACAAACTCAACATGAGGTTATGTCATTTTCTCCTTGCAGGTCCTTGGAAAGCTGCAGTAGCCAGAAAATGATGAAAATGGAGACAAATGCCCAGGCCGAAAGCTGGTGAGCTCAAGGGTTTCACTGGTGTGATTCCAGTCGGCGTATAGACCCCTGGCAGATTCAACATAAGTGAGAACAGACCCTTTGGCCTTTATTGTAGGTCTGAGTCATACTGTGACCATCCCAGAAGCTATGTTGGTGTAGGAGACCAGCAGATGTCTATCTTCTCCTTCAATAAACTGTATAGCAGGATTGGAAATGCCTTGAAATAAGAGATGAGATGATCCACAATGTCTGGCATAAATTAATCCTGGACATATCTATATGAAAGCATTGTAAAGCTACCTCCCCAAGAAATCTCCACAAACAAGATATTTGGATTAATTTTGGTTGGACATAGTAAGTAAATTGTATTTACCATACAAACACCTAAACAGCCAGCAGCTAGATACCATGCTGAATAGACTGGGGTCAGATACGCATGAGAATCTCTATGCTTAGCAATACTGTTTTACAGGTGGCTTAGGCAGCAATCAAGACCATTACAGATGTGGGCCACTGATTGTTTCTTCAGTGTGGTAAATGCTTGGGTTATTTCAAATTACTCTAGAAATTATATGAAGATAGATTATTAAAACAAGTAACTTTTTCATCTGTGGCCAATCAAACTGTATTGAAGAAATAAATGCTTTCTGCTTTCATGAAGACAAAAAAAAGAGGAAACTCAGTAGCCTTCCAACACCTGTGAGAAGGCTATCAAGAAGATGGAGCCAGGCTTTTGACAGTGTCGCTTGTGAGAGGAAGACAGACAATGGGCATTACCTGAAAAAAGACAAGTTCAGACTAGATATAAGGAAAAACTTTTTCATGATGAGGACAGTCAAGCACTGGAACAGATTGCTTAGAAAGGTTATGCAGGTTTCCATCCTTGGAGGTTTTCAAGACCAGACTGAGCAAAGCCCTCAGCAGCTGATGCTGTTTTGAGCAAGAGGTGAGATTAAAGACATTCTGAGGTCCTTTCCAACCTGAATTTTCCTATGAACCTAAGAGGCAACCTTTGAAGAGTGGAGGCAGTTTTTTAAAAAAAATGCATGCTGTATTTCTTAAGACTATTATGTACTGACTAAGTAATCTTTTCTGTACACATAATAAGAAAATTCCAAAAGAAGCAAGAAAGGCTTTATATTTATTTATACAGTTTTATATATTTATATGGTTTTCTATTACTGGATGCACTTTTGTCTAAACTCGTCTTATGTGTTTGGTATAATCTTAATCTCAGACCATTTTGCAAATCAGGTATTACTTTGCTGATAGTGATTGAATTTCATACCAATTTTACAACTTTGTAAAAAAACTTTAGAGAATTTTGAAACAGGAGAGCAAGCAATCTTTTCTCTTTGTGAGTTAGATGTATGGCAAACTGAAAACAAAACACTGAATATGTAATCATCATGTAGGAGCAGTGTCACATAGATTGTACTAGGATAGCACTGAGATCCTGCTCTTAACCAGTTACTGAAAGCTACTGGAAATGCTTCAATGCCAAAAGAAATGAGCTGTTGTACCAGTAATTCTCTTTTGGCCACCTTCAAATAAATTCACCATAATGAGGATTTTACTGAAAACTGAAAAAGGCAGCTGCTTCACCCAGCAATGGTTTGGAACCTCTGTTCCTTCTCCAGCTAGGTGGATGCAGGCAGAATGGTGGTCCTGTTCTCCTCAACGAAGCCGTACAAAAATGAATTCAGTGTATATTTAATAGAGTGTTTATATATAACAGAGTAAGAACAAGAAAAACACAGACAGACATAAAGATTCTGGCAGAAAAAGGACATTTTAATATAATTTCCAACAAAGCAGACATACAAAAGGGGGAAGGACCTGTGGATTTTCCCACCTCTGACCAAATCGTTGAACCCTCTCTTCCCAAAGCAACAACAGATCTGACTTTCATCTCACCTCATCATCCTAAATTCTGCAAAAAGCTCACCAATTTCTGTGGTGGCTGTGCTGATTTTTACAGAAAATAAAAATGCAGAAAAAGGTATAATTTAAATATTTCTGAATCGATTGCTTCTTAGTTGTTAATTTGATAAACATGTATCTTCTGTAGGTTTGAACATATCAATTCACCATGTATTTCTGAATAATTATGAATTTGCCACAGAATTAAGTATCAGCAACTTAAGGAAATACACATCCTTGAGAATGATGTGTGACGTCTGCCAATATACTGTTGTATTTTTATGTGAACAATCCAAATTCTCCCAAATGCGTGACTATAAACTTATCACTAGCGTGAAAAATGATAGCTTCGATCTGGAAGTATGTATATCTCGGAGAAATAGACTATATTTTTCATTGCATTTTTTAATTTGTTTTAGTCTGATGTATAAAATACATTGTTGCACAACCAGATTTTATGCAGTAAAGTAGTACTGAGGCAACAGTGAACTTGTATATAACTGTATTTAAATTTTCACATCTCCTTTGTGTTTTACAACTGTTTGCCCTGTTTTACTTTAAGCCTATCGAGCGTCATTGTTTCTTCTGAAACCTGTATAGTCTGTGAGGGTGTATATTTTGCAAAACATTGAATATTCAAATTAAAAAAACAGTTGGGAAATTCTGAACTCTAGAATTACTTTCTAATAAAAATTTATTTTCATATTACAATGCAAAGTCAGTATTCTAATAATCTGATATGAAAAGTACTCTTTCTTGGGGAAAAAAAAATTGGCAAAAGGTCTCAAATGAAATTTTATAGACTATTGTAACCCAGATAAGTACTGTTTTTGCACAGAAATCTCTGGATGCCAGCTAGATGTAATTAACAAAGACTTTTGCAAATCCATGCAAACAAAACTACCGTCAGTAGTAATAAATGTTCTCCAGATTAAAGATATAGAAGAACATTAATACATTAGATAATTTTAACATTTAGAAAACATACAATTAATTCTTAATAAACAAGAATATTTGGCAAGCTCCTGGTTTGGTTGTTTTAGTTTTGCTTAATCTTAATGCAAGCTGAAGATAACTGAGTGCGAATATTCAAATATCATTCCCTGGAGAAATGGATTTTGCTTGTCAAAGAGAAATAACTTCTATATCTTTAACAATCAAATCTGTACATCTAAGGTGGTTATTCATACCTGTTTCTTAACAGAAGAGGAAGGCAAAGAATAAGGTCTTTAACTGTTTCTAAAAGAAAATAGTAGACTGCAACAAGAATTTCATTTGTTCCCCAAGCCTGAAAGGACATAAAGAATACATTAGACAGTATTTCAGGTTGTGTTGTCAGTTTTAAAATGAACTTCAGAAACATAAAACAAAAGAAAGGAAAAAAAATCTTTTAATTTAATACTTTCAAGACAAAAAAATCATTCATCTACTCTTCTGCATTTTCATTTCTCTACCTCAAGACTGAACAAGGCAACAAAAGAATATGTTTGCAGAGTAGCCCTATTTAAAAATCTTTCCAATGCAGTTATTACATGCTTTTCCAACCCCAGCAAGCTCCTGTGAATGTACCTGCTTTAGTACCTCTCTGTTTAGAAAGCAAATGGTAACAACCTACACTGAGGCAATCTTCTCCAAGACCTCTCATTCCCTCCCGTGTGTTACTGTCACTAAGGATACTGAGCATTCCCATGCTTTCTGTTTATGAAATGTATTTTCCACTCTGTTAGCTTCTGCACACGTTTATCTTTTCTTTTTTTCCCCAGCTAATGTAAAGTGGGGCCCTCAGTTTGCTTGTAAGATATTGATCTAACAGTTTGAAAAGGTCAGGATCAATAAAGGGAAGAGCAGTACGTTGACAGTTTTTAGGGCTAGCAGACTTTGATTTGGCTGAACCTGTGCTTTCTCCTGTGGTTTCCTGCAGGACACTCTGTGTGTAACAAACACGCAGGGAGTGAATACATTTGTGTGCAAATGCAGAAATATTTACTGAATATCTCAGTTGAAGAAAGTTTGGGAAGTAGGCAGTGGATCGCTGCACTGGGACTCAGCATACTTAATTTCTATATGAAGCTCTATGACTCAGCTTTGTGGCTCTGAGCAAATCATTTCTCTCTTTCATCTTGTATATGTTTGAGATTTATTGAGGAAAAGTTCTGTGAGAGACTGATAACATATCAGTTTTTCCCGCAAAGTATTCAGTCAGAATACATTTCTTCTTCTTCTACTCTTCCTCTCTGCTTAACTCTACTTTACTGCTGATAGCCTTTCTCTGTAAACCAAACCTCATACAAAGCTCCTCATCCCCACCCTCAAAAAGAAAACACTTCAGTTCTCCTTTCCTTTGGATGCAACAGTTATCGCAAACTCCTTGTAGCGAATGATGTGCAAACACTACAGCGGTTACTGCACCTCTCTTCTCTTTTTAGTCTAGAAGTAAGTTAGGGAAGAGTGAAGTGGTGTGCTCACAGGGAAAGGGAACACATAACGCTCCCACAGATATGGGAATTGTGGAGTGTCTCAGCCCGCTTTCTTCTGCCAGTTAGAAAGGCTACCACTGCACCTCATAAATGTCCTCAGGTTTCACTATGGTGGTGAAGCACAATGTATTTCCTTAGCAGTACTAATCTGTAGGTTTTACCTTTCTTCATCTTGCTAAATCAGAATTTACAAACTTTTTTGATCAATGGTTCTTGCTATAGGTAGCTCCATCCTTCAAATCTGGGAGATTTTCCCTTTCCTCACAAAGAGTCAAGGAAGAAAAGCCTTCTTTTATCTGCCAGATTGACTCCAAATCCTTCTCAGAACTTGCTGCTGAGCTGTCTCTTACTTACGACATCAGGTCCCTATGTGTTTGTAACATGCTGGTCGTACTTCTGAAGCCTCTTTGCTTTTTGTTCCCCTGCCTGTGCTTCGTGACTGGTTGAGATATCCTGCCCTGCGCTGTCAGGATAACCAAATGCTACTCCATTCCTTTCCAGCTGTTTAGGGCAGCATGTAGCCCACCTTGTCTAACTGAACTTCAGAACAATTTTAAAAGTGTTGACTGTTCTTTGTTCTGCAAGAATACCTTTTATAACTTGGGGCCTAATAGTTGCCAATGTTGATAATGCCTCATCCCTTCTGCAGCTGATGGACGATGCTAGGTAATAGCCTGTGGCTGAAAAACTATCAGGGTGGAAAAGGCATTTGAGAGAGACATTCCTGATATGGTATGATTTAGGAGATGACAAGATGTGCTTTTGTTAGTTAGATTACTGTACTTCACAGAAAGTCAGCTTTGGACCTTCTAAAGGCCTGAAATGTTTGTTGTAAGACACTTATCTCTAACCTTCTGGTGAGCAGCCTATAAATTCAACTTAATTTCATTTGCAGAAGAAACCTGACAACAGCTTTTCTAAATAAAGACAAAAGGGATCCCAAAGCCTGTGTAAAGTGTTTGCTTTAGGTGAGTGTAGGGAGGCTGTTTTTTCAGCCACTGTGTGTTTACCTGACAGTTTTCTGATAAGCAATGTGATAGCGGAACCCCACTTTGTGACAGTGCTAACACCATCTGCCAGGTGCTGATAGCTTGCTGGATAATGCTGTCATCAGCACTCAAGTGCTGATGGAAAGTTATTGCTTCAGTAATCACTACCACTTTCATCTTCTGCTTAATTGGTTGCTGCCGCTAAAAACTATTACTAAAAAAAAAAAATAGCCATGGGTCATTTTTCTTTATCATGATGAATTACTTTTAGGCTACCTTGCAGTGCCACCATTGCGTACTTACTGCTTTCTGATTCCTGCCAATTTTACTTATGTACACTGTAGAGTGAAATTTATTGCCTACCTATGACTGCTCTCAGTACCTGATTTGGTGACAAATACCCATAGAAAGTTTCACTAGACCTTGATATAGTGAAAGACTTGTTAATGGCATACTCTGCTAGACACAGTGGGCCAGTCTGCCTCATGAGGTAGAGCACAGTGCAATCATTTGCGTAATCTTTATTTGGTGTCAATTGTTACAGCTAAATTTGTACCAGCTGAAAACCAGGCCAGACAGTTTAAAGGAAATGCATACAGAAAATTTTGGAAGTATTTTAGCCATCAAGAAACGACATTCAAACGCATTTACTTCAGTGTAAAGGAACACACTGTGCAGGCTGCACAGACATGCACACCCCAGAAGGTTCGCTGGTGGTGGCTGAGGAAAACAGCCTTCACAGTTTTACAGTGCAGCATTGAGCTACTAAAATAAACACACGTGGAGAACCTCAAGTGTTTAGAACAGCTGAGAACATAATGTAATATAACTTAAGCCAGAATCAGTTCTTTCTTGTGTCAGTATAAATATGGACTACAGCTATTATGACTTTAAAATTCTGTACTGTAGATTTTAGTTTGGCTTCCTATTTTTTGGCATGATTTACCTGTCTTTTGCAGGATGTTCTGTCTTGCTTTCATGAAAGCTTGGATGTCAGCATCAGCCTGGGTGTCTCCAGTCAGAGAAATAGATGTACTGGAACTTGGTGGGGTCCTGCAATAAGAAAGTATACTTGTGGACCCAACTGAGTAAGAAGGTTATTTTTCTATTCCATTATCTCTTCTCTTTTTTCAGTGTGGAGGACTTTGTTCTCCAGATACATTGTTAGAGATGGCACAGTTCAGAGGAGAACCAAGCTGAGGACTTCTTAATGCTCTTATGCAGATTCTTGAGATCAGCCAATATCCTTTTAGTTTGGTAGGGCTACATGCTTATCACCTATTAAAAGTCTCACAAAGGTTTAACAATATTTTACTGTCGAGTCAAAGACTCACCGCCAAGCAGAAAAGCCTAATACAGTGAGTTTGCCAAAGAAATGGTGGATGTGACTATGCCATATGTTTGCCTCAGGAAAAAATGCTGCTATTTATTTGAACAGATCAATAGTATTTTTGCCTACTGTAAGGGAATTAAGCTTTCACAGAAATAAACAATCACATGACATTTGCTGGCAGAGGCAACTCCTTTACGCTGCTGAGTCTCCAGTCACAGCTGGGGTCTTGTATCTATGCAGTTAAATGATTGACTGACCTTTACTTTTGACAGACCTTCAGATGCTATACAATGATGTAGTACATTGAAGCTATTCTAATCAGCTAAGAAAGCTAACAGTTTGGCCCTGTGTCTTTAGCCTTGTTTAAAGATTAAGCACTAATGGTGAAATGAGAAATATAGTGATAAAAATTACAATATAGAAGGACAAGCGGAACTAAAGGGAGAAACTTTTTTTTTTTTTAACATATCCTAGCTTTGTAATTAATTTCCACTGTTCCTGACTGGCTATTGCAGTAGAATGTAATTGTGCCTGACATAAAACAGAAGTCTGATATCCTTGTATTTGTGCTACTAATTAAGTCCTCAATTGCTGAATTAGTGAACCAAAATGGAAAAAAAGGTAGAAATTACTAGGTACTTCATAAAATATCTCTTTTTATCTAATTTACAAGGTGATCTCAGAACACCAGTAAAGGACTATTCTGTTACTGATTTTCATTTGATTAGCAACAATATAAAAAATACACAGGATATTTGAGAAGGTGCTTTCTAAATTCCATTTTAGCTTCTCTTCTGTTTCTCTTAAACAGAAATGCAATTTAAAACATTACGTTCTGGGGGATGAAATTTTCCATGATTTTTCACTGTTCTAGAAATGGATTGTTTTGGAAAATGAAGGAAAAAACCCCTTGTGATTTGTTCTTACTAAAGCAGTAGGAAAAATCGTAACTTAATCATATTTCTGTAAGGGTCTTAGTAGCCAGAACCGTTAAGCACAATAAGAAGAAACTTCTGGAAGTATACTGACTTGGCATGATGTTTTGATGGGACAAAAGAACATAGAAATGAGCACAGTAGAAAAAAAAGAGAAGCTGTCAAAAAAAAAAAAAAAGGTTCTGTTAACCTGCTAAGCAAATTTTCACAAAGCAGTACCTCTTTTGAGAAAACAGGACGTGTAACCTTTGCCAAGCCTGACACACCTGGGCTGCTGGTGTCATTTTATTTTACTGCAATAATTTGTAGGAGGTAGACTCAAAATATTTCAGGGACAAAATCACAAGAATGAAAAAATCTCTGCGTAGTTCCTGTATTTGGCAGTACTTACATACTATGATCTCTCTTCCTTTCAAATATTTTTATTTACTCTTGCAGAGTTCCTTTCTCTTGCTAACAAGACAGAGTCATGAGGATTCACAGGCTCATGGGGAAAAAAGCCTCAGGCCAAACAAGAAACCACCTCTGTAATGCAGCTACCTGGTGTAAAGCTACAGGACAGCTTTGATGTTGTTTTGGAAGTTGGAGGAAAATCTGAAATTTCAGTTTTATTTTTGTTTTTCAAGGACGCTGTTGTTAAAGAGACTGATAGAGGGTTATCTAGGCATTACATTATTTAATGGTTTGCTTTTTGCTCTGCATAGCCCAGATATGCTTCTTACCTTGTTTTTAAAGCTGGGTTACTAGAAGTGATTGAATTGTTTTTCCCAGCTGGATCTTCACTAGGGCTGACTCTTGTGGTCTCTGAAAAACTGGAATGGAAGCAGAAATGAAGGAAAGAATATAGCCCTCGTGGAGGGAATATCAATACATGCTAAGTGACTACAAAGGAGCTGTTTTTCAAGATTTTTTTTTATCTACAGAAAGCACTTTTTGTTTACTGGAAGAGGATTTTCAGTTGAATCCACATGATAATTATGTTTATGTAGAGGATGTGGCTATGAAAGAATGACAAATAAACTCATAAAGATTACACTTTTAGTATTTGCCTTCTAAGCAGGGCTTGTAAAGCACTTTGATGTATCTGACGTACAGTTTGTAATGGTATATTTAGTTCCCAAACTAACTATTAGCCAAGCGAGGCCTTACCTCATTTTCCATTCTTCCTTTAGTCAGGCAAAATTATTACCGAAATCACTGGGAGACTGGATAAAAACTCAGTGAGGACTTTGGGACGTGGCTTGTTGACGATAGCCAAATATATTGCAAACAGCTGTTGTGCACTCCTGTCCCTGCACATACTGTTACCAAGGTCCCTCCCCACTAGGAAGGCAGATTGCTGCCACGGGATGTACAGGGACTCGCTCTTGTCCCCGGGGGGCTGCATATGCTGGTGTATCTGGTGCCAGTTTTACAGAGTGGAAACACTGAATTACTCAGTTTTAGGGTTTTTCCAGTAGATGGCAGGATTGGCAAGTTCTTGCTTTTCTAACTCTCCAGTAGTTTATTCATAGTTGGCTGATGAATTGATATTTCTGGCAGAGAATTTGAAAAAGGAAAGAAATTTATTACTAAAAATTTACTGTATTACACTGTGCCAGGTTCAGTTTTGCAGCAGATATTGTGCCCAAGAGTATGTCATTTTCAAATGAACAGCTCCAGTTTTACTGAATGTCTCTCTAACTCCTCAAGTCCCTTAGCATTCGCACCTGCCTAAAAGGATTAAAATAACCTCGAGACTCACTCTATTTCAAGTAAAGCAATATCATACTTAATGTTAATAATATTCCGTACTTTATTATGCCTAAATATTACTAGAGCTAGGAAGGATGTGTGATGTTATTACCTACTATGAGGTTTAACAATATCTGGGAACCTCATATCGTAGTTCTGCTTTAGGATTTCCTGAACTTTTTTTTCCATTGATTTGGTGGTTCTTTAAAAACTAAGTGATTTAGGAGCGTAAATTCAATTTTCTAAAAGGACTCTGTGTCTGTGCCCTGAGACAGCTAGGCATCCAAGCCATATGAACATGGTTTAATAAACCGCTACACATCAGCTGAAGCATAGTAACTGTCCATGACTGTGTTCTTAGTCTACAAGAAATGTCAGGTAATGTGACTTAATGTGATCCTTTTTCATTGCTTTCTTTTCATTGAAATAAACTTCTTTGCTTTGTATTTGCCATCAACAGGATGTCTAATTTTATAAATACTGTGAGTCCACCGAAGTAAGTAATTTTGAAGTTGCAGTAGTTTATATGTTTGAACTAATTTTTTCCATTGAATTTCAATGAAAATTATTCTTCAAAATTGTTAAGAGGACTTAGATCCAGATCCATTGAAAAAACTAGACACTACAAGTGTGGCAGGGTTTGACCTCTAGGGATCTCACTTTCAAGGGTATTCCTGGACCCAGAACAATATGCCAGAACTTGCGTTAGAGTGCTCTCGCAGAACTGGGCACCTGAGGTAGGTGATATTAAAAAAACCGTCAGACCGAGTGAGGTGATGCCCAGAATCAGGAAATGAACATTACTGTGCTTAGAGACGGACCTTAAACTCCTACCCTTGGCCTCCGGGGTTACAGCCAGACATTTTTGTCTGTGGGATGCAAATTCTTCTCCTGCAAGTTAAAGAAATTTATAAGGAAGCCTATATCTATTTTTTCGTCATGATTCAAAGTGCTGCTCCATATAAGAGGTTAACAGTTAGAGTACTAATCTAACAAATGAGTCCTTCAGCTTGGCAGAACTCAAATCGATGTTTTACATATCCCAGAGCCTGCTCTAATCCCTAGGCTAGAGGGATGGTCTGTATGGGGATAATTTTCATCCTTAATACTGAAGCTCTGATAATGTTT